CTGAAGACAACAGAGATAAAATGTTTCTGTAAAAATGACCTCAAATAACAAAATCTATTTTAAAAGAATGATGCTATCTCACCTCTCCGGCTTTCCTGGCCAAAGTCACGGCATGGTCCATGGCATCCTGCCAAAGGTCAGGCATTGTGCCTTTATGGAAGGACCCCCTTTCTGATCGGACATAAAAACACATTTATTTATACTCATCAATATCAGACAGCAGCTACAGGAATGCTGCAGTGTTGCTGCTGTAAATCAATTCACGAGTCACACATGATAAAAGCTGTGTCTAAAATCTTATTTTATTTGAGGAGACAGTTTATGTTTCTGATTAATTCCATATTTTTACCACTTTGCTGGCAGTCCCTTAATCCCTGCACACACTCCTTATATAGTGTTCTTCTTATAAATAGGCCTCCAACTGGGGTCTGACTTTCTTTAAAGAACCCCTACCCTAACAAAAAAATTACTATGGCAACTAAATAGCATTTATCTGCTTTAAAATCTGAATGATTTATTCTATTATTATCTAATAATTATTATATTATCTGTTTCATTTAAGTTCCTTTTTAACTGTGATGGCTAGTAAAAAGTTCTTTGTTGTCATTTCCATCATCTTACTGTCTTGCTGAGGCTAATTTTACAGTTAGCTTTTTTGTATCCTAATTACACACAATTACAAACAAACATTTTGCATAATTTTACATATTTAACATTATTTTTTTTTTTTTTTTTTTTTTTTTTACGTATTTTCAAAAATTAGGAGTGCCCCTAAGTACCTTAATTTGTACAAAGGGGCACTCCTAATTTTTGTAAAGATCAATATAAAGCATTTTTACAATTACATTTTTATAAATGGTGTACACATATTTCACTCTGTTTAGACTATCAGTTTGAGAATGAAGTGTAATAATAGCTTTAATAATTAAATTATCTTTAATAAACATTCAACACCTGAATTGTATCAAGTCCGAACATCCTATTTCATGGAAATGTATGTAATGGGTTTAAATCAGCTGGCAACAGAAAACCCAGTCATATCTGACTGTACTTAAACATTTTAAGTATTGTATAGTCCATGAACTAGTTACATGTCTGAGCTACGTATTCTACTACGTGTTCATCGCAAATAACTTGCGATATATGGATTCTAGCTAATCTTTAGTGAAGAAAGAAACCCTACAAATCTGCTTCCGTTCATTACTGGACCATTTATAGTTACGCCAAATATTAAAATCGGTGCAAACAATCCATAATGATCTATGCACATATATAATGACATTTCAAACATGTTCAAACTTGACAAAAAAATAAATAAGACGACAAAATTCTTACCGATGACCGGCGAAATGAAGACAAGCGGTCAGATTGTTGAGTTTCCGGGTTCTTGGAGGACCAGACGAGATTAACCCCAAAACATCTGATTATTTTCAGAAATATAACGAAGCATCTAATACAATTAAATATCCCACTGTGCCTTTTTATATAGATAATAAATACTATACAATTTCAATGTTATGTTTAGCAACTACAAGCTTTTTCCCCCCTAAAATTACGTTGCGCATGCGCATTATGTATTTTCAGCATACCGGTGTCAAAGTAAAAGTTTCCCAGTCCACATATTTTTTAACATTAGTCATAATAAATAAAACGAAATAAATAATAAAACCAAATATTATTCATTTATGAAAGCAACATGAAAGTCTGCATACTTCTTTTTAGTGTTGTATTACGTGTATTGGAATGGATGATTTTCCTTACTAAAATAAAAAGGATCAATACTATGTGATTTTATTGTACCCAACCTTTATTGCAGCACTCAAACAAAACATTTACAGTTGTTTACAGATTTGTGAAAAGTCACCCAAAACTCCCTAAAATTGCATTGCCTCAATAACTTAAAATGAGTTAGCCTATACAGCAGGATTTCATGTAAACCTCTGGATAGAAAGCCTTGAGTAAACTTTGAGTAAATGCTCCCTTCACAAATGGTGTTATTGCTGGTTGTGAGGTGCCTGTCCCTTGAACCTGTACCAAGGCTGCTATATCCAACCTTTCAAATATGGCTTTGAGAAGTTAACACTTTCATAAAATTCATTAAATTTGACTATAAAATGTCAAATCCTAAATAAAATAAATCCTAAAAAAAAAAATGTTTTACTTTGTAAAATTAATACCACTTTAAAAATTCACATTGACTTCAAAAGTGTTAGGGGTTCAAAACCCCTGTAGTGTTGTAGAAAAAGAAAAACAAACCCTACAAACTATATTTCAGCCACTTGTATATGTTATAAAACCATTGTTTTGAAGAGATCTGCAGCATTTCCTAAAGTCTATCACAAAAACAACATCTATTCTGGCAGGCCCCATAAAACCACAGTGTAACAACATTACAATGAAAAAAAAACAAAATTCCACAGTGAAACAATTCAGGAACCAGAATTGGATTTCCTTCAAAAGATCAAACAAGTTTTCAATATCTTAACCAACTACTCTGCGTCAAGGGTGAAAGCTACATTGTGTTGTAATAAAAACAATGACAACATTAATAGTAAATACAAACAAATTTTTGACTTGATATTAGTGATAAAATAACCAGTCATCTCTTTCTGAATGCACAACGACAAAATTATATTGTATTCTTACCGATGTGCCTGCAACAGTTGAAAGGGCCAGAATAAATGCACTGTGAAGTCAATACATAGGCAGTGCATGACATTTGACAAATTAATAAGCATATATGATTTGTGATCTCCCACAAAAACACCAGGTAAGATCTTTACCCTGCTATAAAAATAAAACTTTGTGTAAAGTAGGTTGCTCCATATTTGTGTGGGCATGCTTCACCAGTTATTACATAAGACACCCATTTAAACAACATTGGTTGTCATACGCATACTGCACAGCAGCTGGAGTGTCTACCTGAAACAGAGCCTGTCAAATCATGAGCCTATGGAACATGACTTACTGAAAAAGGCAAAAGTATTAAAAAACAGGATGGGCAAGCTATGCATCGGAGTTAAAAAAAAAAAAAGTGAAATTTCCTAAATGTGAAGAAATGCAAAAAGTTTTCTGCTCTCTCTGAGCTCTTAGCTAAATAGTTACAGTATTGAGGGGGGGGAGAAATCAACAGAGGTACTAAAATGTTGACTGTACGCTGGAAAATACATAAGAAAACAGTGAAAACATACTAGTGAGAAAAATGGCTCAAATGATTGTTTCGCATAGTTAAAACATGAATTTTCAAATAGACACATACATACATGCACATGCACGCCCATTCACTCCATACAAAGTTCACATAGCAAAACCTGCCAGCATAAACTTGTCCTTGATATGCAACATTGGAAATGTAGACTCAATACATATTGGTAGTACAAAACCTAAGGGTAAAAATAGCGAAAGATCAGTGCAGCTTTGCATAGTACCTTCACATTGAAGCAAAACGTCAGATTTGTTGAAGAAAGAAACTGATAAATTCAGTGCCGAGGTGAATATGAAGATCTCTGAGCTACAAAGCAACATGAAGGTGTTCGTACACACAGGATAGGAAACTACAACCAAACTATCATCAATGATCATTCAAAAAAGGCTACTTCACATCTATGTTAGAGGATGGGGAAAAA